ATATATATATATATATATACACATATATATACATATACATATATATATACATATATATATTTATACATATATACATATATATATTTATACATATATATATATATATATATATATATATATATATATATATATATATATATATATATATATATATATATACATACATATATATATATATATATATATACATATATATATGTTTATATATATATATATATATATATATATATATATATATATATATATATATATGTATATACATATATATATATTTATATATATACACACACACACCACACACACACACACACACATATATATATATATATATACACACATATATATATATACATATATATACATATATATATTTATACATATATATATATATATATATATATATATATATATATATATATATATATATATATATATATATATATATATCAGGGGCTATTCTAGACTGTAGATCGTATCAGGGTGCTGCCCAAATATATATACATATATTTATAATTATATATTTATATTTATAAATACATATATATACATATATATTTATACATATATATATATATATATATATATATATGTATATATATATATATATATATATATATATATATATATATATATATATATATATATATATATATATGTATATATATATATATATATATATGTATATCAGGGGCTATTCTAGACTGTAGATCGTATCAGGGTGCTGCCCAAATAAAAATTGAAGGATTTTTTTTTTTAATGTTTTTTACAACAAATATTGTTTTTTCGCAAAAAAAAAACGCTGATTTTCTGCTAAAGTTCGCTGAAACAAGGGGGCACCGCCGCCAAAATTTTATTTCCTAGAACTGGCCCTATATATATATATATATATATATATATATATATATATATATATATATATATATATATATATATATATATATATATATATATATATATATATATATATATATATATATATATATATATATATATATATATATATATATATATATATATATATATATATATATATATATATATATATATATAAATAGATATAGATAATAATCTGAATAGTCACCTTGCAGTTATAGATAAAGAAAAAACTAAAAGTAACTTGAAAAATTGGGCCTCAATTGCTAAGAGAGGATTAGTTTCAAGCCATAAGGGTAATTGTTACCTTAAATAAGGATATTGGAAAGCGAGAAAGTAATGTTATTGTCTTTAGAGTATCACAAAGGAGAAAGAAGATTGATACTAAAACCCAATTGACAAGAAAATACCGTAAATTGACAAGAAAATACTGTCATCTATCTTGCTGGTGTATATACTAGTGCAACATTGTTGAATAACAAGATTGATGAATTATTAATTGATACTGATGTTAAGTAACCACATATGTCATGATATGTGAAGCATGGTGAATTGAATCATCAACAACCAATATTCTGAGTTTTTTCTTTTCCAGACAAAACAGACCAATTAAAAGGCGACGTGGAATATGCATTTATTGTCATAAAAGCATCAATTTTTTTATATTGAACAATATTTATTTACATAATAACAATATTGAGTAAATGTGGTACTCAGTTTGTATAGTTTCAGTAGTAATATTTTGTGGGCACAAAATTTATTCTTATGAAAAAAACATAACGGCAATACCGTTAAGTTTTTTTAATACAAATTATATATTGAACATAGCGGGAATAACCTGTTATGTTCAATGTATAATTTGTATGAAAAAAACATAATGGTATTTGACAAAATCATTGAATTTCCTCAGTGTGTTGGTAATTTCCACAACTTGAAATGCAGCATTTGATTCAATAAGCTGCTGTAAAAGGTTCACATTGTTTAAAAGTTTTCTGCAGGCATTGCCTGCAAACTGCCCTCCATGGTAAGATTCTTGGTGAATATGCAGTTTAGCAGGCCATTCTTCTGCCTTTGGCCACAAGTTTTTCATAGCCTTGAACAAATGGTTGGTTACACCAAGAAGCAAGTGCAGCTCCATTGGGGGAAGAATGTCTATGATAAGTCTGTCTGCACTGTTGTCTAACACTGGTATCTTTGGCCTGCATTTGTGTGAAAAGTCGTTGTTTTTTTTTTTTTTTTTTTTTTTAACATCTTCACTTCCAACAAGGCTGCAAGCAACCACTATAAGAGTTGGAAGTTACTGGAAGAGAAAAGACTAAATCTGTAGAGCAAGATAACGATTGACTGATGACTTAAAAGATTGCAAATTATATGAATCAGGAAAGCAAGATGAAGGAAGCGAATTCCAAAGAACTGATGTTCGAGGAAAAAAACTAGAAGAATAAGAGTTTTGAAGCACTTAGGAACAGTCACAGAAAAAGGATGAGACTTAATTGAATGGCGAGTAACACGAGAATGAATTTTAGTAGATGGCACAAGAGACGCTAGCTCTTTAGAGCAGTGCCCATTATAGTATTTGTAGAAAAGAGAAAGAGAGGCAACATTACGACGATGTGACAAAGGTTGGAGATTGGCTGCCAGAGCAGGTCCAACTATGTTTACAATTCGTTTTTGCACCTTGTCTAAAAGAGAAAGAGCATCATTAGAAGATCCTCCCCAGATGTGGCAACAGTATTCCATACAGGGACGGATTTGAGATTTATAGAGATAGAGAATAGAATCTGGAGTAAGAAAGTGTCGAGCTCGATAAAGAGATGCAACCTTAGCAGATGCTAATTTTGCAATGGATTTGATATACGGTTTAAAAGAAAGATCAGAAGTAAGAGTTAATCCTAGAAGATGAATGGTAGATGACTCATCTAGTACATTACCATTCATAAATATAGGAAGATCTAAATTATTACGATAACGATTGGCCGAATAAAATTGAGTTTTATCTGAATTAAAGTTTTGTGGGGATGTGAATGCAGTTCTTTAGAAGATTCATCTACAATCACACCAAGAGTGAATTTTAAGAACCCACCTCCACCATCTATACCAAGCTTAATGAAGTGACTGCAGAAATTTTTTCTGTACATCAATACTTCACCAATTATGTCTTGCATAGATTTGCAGTGAATGACCAGATGACCTCCTTCTGAATTTGCTTGCTTTTCTCCCTTGGGTATTGTACTCTGGGTAAAAAAGTCTGAGAGAGTTTTTCCAAAGCTGTCAAATTTTGACCGAAGATTTGGTTCTACCACTTTGGCCTTGGCAACTTGGTTCAAGGTGGATGCTAATTTTTTCATGCCAAGGCTTTATGTAGTGATTGGAGAACCATCAAAAAGTTTTCTTGCAAAATGAAGGACCTACAAATAAATTGAATAAAATTGTTGAAAACTCAATAGAGAACAGGCTTGTTAAAATAATCTCAAGTTATGTGCCTTTAAAGCCATCAATGTTTAAATCAAAGCTAAATCAAATTTAAGAAACAATGCAGTCAAAACAATAAGAAATGAAACAGTACCTGGTGTAACTTGTAAGATAGGGCCTCCTCCAGGTTTTGACATCCGTATTGTGCCATTGGAAGATGATTCCTTTCTTGAAAGTACTTGAGTAGCAATTTGTTCTGCAGTATTTGTATCTTGAGCTGCCAAAAGTCTCATATTTTTTCTAAATGTGGATAGTATGCAGGAATGAGTAAGTCCACGTCCAAAAGACTTAATCAGTCAACACACCTTCGAAGCTTCTCTCCTTCATGGTGGGGAGTTGAGAGAGGGTCTTTTTGGTTGAGCTTTGAGTGCCCAATTCGGCAAATAAGGCAACAGCAGTCTTGCCCACAAGTTGGTGGTTTCACTGTGATGGATGAAAAATCAAATAAGACTGGAAGTTGTGGATCTTTCCCTGCATCTCTTCTTCTTAGAATTGTTCTACAAGCTTCACAAAGTCCAAGTGGAATCCTGACATCAGATGTTTCCAAAGGCTGATTGTAAATTGTTGACAATCTTTGAATTTGAAATTGTTTCAGTTGATTTGTACATTTGTGAAAACACAGGCAACAAACAGTTTTCCTGCATTCCTCATGATTCTTAGCCCAATTAGGCATTTTAAGTGTTTTTGTATCAAACTTCTGTTTAGCAAACTTTAACTAAAATGATAGCAAGGCGGTTTCCCGAAAAAAATTGTTTTATTAGCAAAAGAGTTACAATATTCTAATTCCCGAAAAATTTTTATAAAAGAAGAATAAACAAATTTATTGAGTAATAAATAGTTATTTTGTAAGAATATAATATTTATTACTATTTCAAATTTACTAACCAAAAAATCAAAAGTTACTGTAAAAATGCAAAAAAATTGTGTAAGCTATCATTTCATTTTGAGAAAAAATAAAGAGAAATTTAAATTGAATTTATTCTTGCGGACGAAATAGTTTGATTTCAAAAATTAGTTCTCAGGTACCAGGGATGAATGTACTTTAACCCAATGCTAACCATTTTCTCAGGTCAAGCCATCAGAGTTTTTGACCCAAAATGTACAACGGTGATTGTTCTTTTTTGCAAAAAAACATTGATTTTCTGCTAAAATTCTTTGTGACAAGAAGGGTAACATCGCCCAAATTTTTTTCCTAAAATATCCCCTGCTGTGACATGCTAAAACTGTATGTGATATGCTAAAACTGTATGTGTTATGCTAAAACTGTATGTAACAATGTGATCTTATTCTTTATATGTTAAAAGTAAAAAGTTATGTTAATTAACAAATTATTCTGCAAAACAGAAATTTTGACATTAAATTAAGATCTGTAGTTCAAGAACATCACTACTCAAAATATTTTTTTATAGAATATTTTTGGAGACTTTTAAACTGCTTATTTGTGATGAATGAAATGAATTAACTAAAAGTATTAAAGTGGACTAAAAAAAGCCTAAATAAAGAATTAAATAAAGAATTGCACACTTTTATTAGTTGGAAAGTGCATGTTAGTAATTGTATTATAATAGTGCATTTACTAGTCGAAATTTAGTTATAATAAAAAAATAGAATGGAAGAAATAAAACAAAAATAACAAAAGCAAAATAAAAACTAACCGGATATTGTTTGCTTTGCAAGTGTCTATATAAAGAAAAATGTTTACATAAAAAATATGCTTGCAACAAAAAAATATTTAAAAATATATAAAAACTTACTGTGGAAAACATTGCATAATAACTTATTTTGGTGTAAGTATTTCATAATAACTTACTGTGGCAATACTGTGTAACAACTTACTGTGGTAAATATTGCGGCAAGTATTGCTGTGAAGGAATATGAGAATTAGGTTGAAAAACACTTGGCGAAGAGTTGCGAAGAGAACTGCCACTTCGCATTATATAATTTGCAGAATGAATCTCTTTGGTTTCAACTTCATTAGGGCCAAGTTCTAATAGTAACTAAACAATAATTATAAAGCCTAAACATATATATTAAAAATAAAATTTATATTAAACTATATTGAAAAATAATAGCTACAATTCAAAACTTGTTTAAAAAATCTTTTTCAAAATGATATCAACAACAAAGTACAATTGAAAATTTATGATAATTAATGATTACAACAAACATATTTCACGTGCATGTACAAACATATAACAACTGTCTTGAGCAGAAAAACAGTCTTAAACAATAGCTACTGTCAAAAATCTTAAACATAACAGTTACTGATATGAAATCCTAAACAAAAGCAATCGCCATTAAAAATTAAAGTCTTAAACTGTCATGAAATTTCAAACATAATGGCTACTGTTATGAAACATAACAGCTACCATCGTAAAACCTTAAATATAACAGCTACCATCATGAAATCTTAAACATAACAGTTAAAAATAACTCAAGCTTTACTTAATTTTAGATTTTTAAAGTTTATTTAATTCTATAAAAAAATTTTATACTGAAAAACAAAAAGTAACAATATTCCATTTATGAAGAAAATAGGTTTCCTTTGTCATATTATTATATTAATTGTCATATAGATGTTGTTAAAAACATAAGAATTCATGTTATTACCAACATAAAAATTAGGGCCAAAATGACTTAAATCACTCTGATTCGACATATGTCTTAATAGAGAAACTATATTTGAAGAAGCGCAAGTTGTTAAAATAAGTTATTTCTAAATTATGAATTATGACTTAAATATATAAAAATACTATTAGAATTTATAAAACTACTTCTGCTTGAGTGGGGTCATAAGTGTGACGATGATGGCGATGGGAGCGTCTATCATGGCGATGTTGCTGTGGTCGTCGATTCTGGACACCTGCATTATTATGGTAAATATCTAAAGGCCCAACCATTTCACTAAATATAAAGTTAAAGAAGTATGAATATAAAATACTAAAATGTACATATATATATATATATATATATATATATATATATATATATATATATATATATATATATATATATATATATAAAAGGTCTAAATGTAAAATACTTTAATATAGTTAAATAGTATTACCTATCAGTTTCTGATTTACCAGGTCGATTGTACATACGGCGCCTGTTGTTGCGATTATTTTCTTCACCATCACTCTTTGATCCAGTTGTACTATTTATATGTTTAAAAAATTCTTACTAAAAGTTTCTACCAAGTAATTCTCAAATATTAAAATACTGAGTGAATTTATGCTGATATATATTTTTCCATATAATATAAACTTTATTTTTAAATTTAAAATTTTGAAAAAAAAAATTTAAAAAGTTTAAACAAAAAAACTTTTATAAGATTATGACTTAAATGTTGCGGTGCTTAACAGAAGCACATTGAAAAAAAAAAGATCAGAGGTTTCAAAGTTGATTTTACAGTTGAATAATCTCTTCTAATAGGGGAGTTGATACATAAGTATATACCCAGGCCAAGAATGTGACTACTTGAAAATCAAAGTATAATAGCCTTCAATACTAAGATGAAACAGCTGAAGAAGAAACAGCAGAAAATGAAACAGCTGAAATCAAAATAATTTCACAAAAAGCAAGTACATCTGGTGAATTTTGCAAAAAGTAAAATTCAATAGATGAAACAAAGAAATTGCGAATATTAAAAAAAATAGTTTGAAATAATTCAGATAATAATTCATGGTTTCTTATGCTTAATATTTTTTTAGGTACTTTACTCATGATAGTACATGGCAACAAGACCTAAGCAACAAGACCTAAGCAACAAGACCTAAGCAACAAGACCTAAGCAACAAGACTTAAGCAACAAGCTATGCAGTTGCTTTAGTCCTACTAATTAATGTAACTGAATTAATGTAATTAATGAAACTGAATTAATGTAATTAATGAAACTGTAACTACTTAATTAAGTTGTAACTGAAGGCTTCTTATATAGCCGTGACAATGCACAAAGACACTATCGATGCACAACATGACACAGTTATTACTCTGATATTTTAAAGTTGCTAATAGAGTCTCTTTGAGAACTACCACAGAGCTCAGGAAACCTCACTATCTACTTATTCTATTATTTACTTACCCGATTAAACTGAGTTTTAGAGCTCTACCCTCATAAGAAGATAACAGGAAGAGTTGCATACCATAAAAAAAAAGACACAAGAAAAATCCATGGGTAGAGTTAAGAAGATCCAGTGTTCATCATTCTAGGCAAAAATATTAAAAACTTATATCTATGAAAGCCTAATAGATCAAGTGGAGGTGAGAAGATTTTTTTAATTAATAAGCTGCCTGTTGAATGCACAGTAGGCCATTCCAAAATAAAATTTTTACCCAAAACAAGTATTTGGGTAAAATTTTTACTTTGCAAAATTTTAAAACTATATACCTTATAATGATAAAATTTCTTTAAATTTTTTCATTTTTGTTTGTTTGTTTGTTCCACATGTCCTAATAAATTTTTAAGCTTGTTCACGTAAAAAACGTTTTTTTTTTTTAAGAAAAAAAAAAAAAAAAAAAAAAAATACTAATAAATCTGAATGTTACCTGGTTAAGTTACCTGGTTATTGTAAACATAGTTGTTGGACTTGTTGGAAGTGAAGATAATAAAAAAAAAAAATAAAAAAAAGTGCAGGTAACATTCAGATCTCTTTTTTTTTTCTTTAATTAAATTTGAATCAATTAAAATTTATAGTTTTAATAGTAGCGTACTTGCTTTATTTAAAAAAATAAATTAAAACTTGTCTTGAGATTTTTTTTAAAACTTGACAGAATAAAATGAACTGTTATAAAAAGCTAGAGATCTTTTCATGCCCATGTTTGATAATTAAGGGAGATACAACAACTAAGGGAGATAATATTTTAACAGTGTCCCAAACATTGTAGATGGTTTCTTATTAAAAATATTTTGAGCAAAACTTTGCTAATTTAATTTTAACAGGTTTTAAACATTCATCATTCAAACATTTGTCATTTGATCCGTTTGTCATTTGCATTTGTTCAAAGCACACTATGAATTCTATATAATTATTTAAATGCAATTTCGGAAGCCACAAGAAACAATAAAAATTAACACAACTCCGGTTAATCTGTTTATGTTTTTTAAATTTTAATTAGTAAAAAACTTATTTAAAATTTTTTAAGGTATGTTTGTATAAAAAAATAAAAAATAAAATTTTTTAAATTTGTTCAGTAAATAAAGAAATTTTTTATTTTATTTTAAAATATTATATTTTATATTGTAGCTAACTTAATAATCATAAGTGAGTGATGTATTTATTTTATAAACTACTTTTTTATTTTATAAACTACTATTCAGATGGATCTTTTCCAGTAATGGTATAGTTTCTTATTTATAAATTTAATCTGATTTTAGTTAATTATGTATTTAATTATCTAAAATTTTATTATTACCTAAAAACTTAAAAAAAAATTAAACTTTATTTTTTAATTAAAAAAAAAAAAAGGAATAAAGCAAAGAGACATGAGAATAATTTTTGAGTTGCAATACAAAATCTGGAAAGAAAAAGAATTACAAAAAAGCAATAAAAGTTTTGAAATAGATAAACAAAGCCTAAAAATCCAAATTAACTTTTCCAAGTTCTTTTCATGGTTTAAATTTATGTTTCATAAAAATTAAAAAAATGAACTGATGTTTTTTTTACTATATAGTTATGCTTAAGTAAGTAGTCATACTAAATATGAACATAATTTCATACACAAGATATAAGCAAATTCCATAGTTTATACCAAAAACTTCTGAAAAAAAAAAAAAGAGGAGTGCAGAAAAAATGTTGCAAAACTGAAAAAGAGATTTACATTTTTACACCTAAAGCTGTGAAGCGAGTACTGATATCAGAAAAAGATAGTGCAGTTAATTCAATAATAATGTATACTGGAGAGGAACAAATACAGGTTGTATATAATACTCAATGAATCTTTAAAGGCTACTTGAAAAACCCATCCTTGATTTAATACACAAAGTAGGATTTGATGGATCAACCGGTCAATCATTATACAAACAATAAAAAGAAGGTGAGATAAGTACCAGTAATGTAAAGGAACATTCATTATTTCTTGGTTTGTTCCAATTAAACTTTAAATTGAAAAACCTGGTGATTCTGGACTAATGAAAAACCTTCCTCTACACTTTAATGCATTCCAGGTAGATTCCAGTATGTAAAAGAAAGTGTTGAGGTTTTTACACAAGCTCGGTCTACTGTGCAGTGGCTAAATAAATCAATCAATATGAGCATACTTGTAGTATATTTATAACTCTGGTTAATAGCTAAAAAAAATTAAAACTTAAATATTAAATTTATTACTTTTATTTGCTTTATTAAATAATAAAGAGAAAGTAAAACCTACTACTGTGGTTCATAACCGAGTGGAGAATGCTTTTGATCAGGTAGGATCTGTCGACTAATAGTTAAACAAGTTTAATAGAAAATTATCAATCAATACAGTTACTAGCTATATGCTACAAAAAAACTCAATATAAATACTTACTCAGGAGTTAAATTTTTTTTTGGCAATATGTTACTTGCTTTATATTGAACATTAGGAGCTGATCCATATCTGAAGTAAAATTAAATTTTTTTTTCCTGTTTTAACAGCATTTTATTATAATAATGAGCTATGAGTAAGAATGTGCAAACATAAACATATTGTATATATTTAGAGCTGTATTATATATATAAATATATTATATATAATGTAAAGATTTTTCCACAAAAAAAACAATAACAACCTAATAAATAGAATTTAAAAAATTACATTTTATTAAAGATTTATAAAAAACCAGTTTTATAAAATGTTGAGTTTAAATAAATTATCACAAATTATTTTCTATTAATAATAATAAATGAATATTTGTTTAAACATTATTAAAAGCATATTATATAATTAAAAAAAATATAAAGGTTGGATCAAATTTAATATTATGAATTTTTCCAACACAAAATTAATAAAAGCCACTTTAAAATAAATAAAAATATAACAAAAAAAATATTCACAAAAAAATCACAACAGCTGACAGGACTCATTTGAAGACTGACAGAGCACATTTGTCCCACTGCATTAACTACTGGCTTTGTCTTAAACCACTTGTTTGTTTTTTTTTGTAAAAACATTGCATAACTTTTCACTTGGTTTTTAGTCATGTTTTAAAATTTCATTTAAATGTTTGTCTTCAATTATTTTTTATCTTAGATGTGATGTCTAATGATGGTTTTTATAGAAATTAAGTCTAATTATTTTATAAAAGCAAACCTTTTATATTTACCTTTACATCTTTTTATATTTGTTGGGAGTTTTCACTGGAGCTTCTTTAATGTGTAACTAAATATTTGAAGTTCAGTTTAAGTGTTAAAAAGGTTTGCATACACTACTTTGTTATGAAAATTAAAGTGGGACCAAACATTTTTAAAGCCGAAAATATTTTTTGTTTAGAATAATAAAGTGTAAATTAAGTGTAATTACAATCAAATATGAGTGGTAAGATTCAATACAGTGCTATAGAAGCTGTTAAAATAATTTTACAAGATCTGGTGATATCAGTGGTAAGATTCAATACAGTGCTATAGAAGCTGTTAAAATAATTTTACAAGATCTGGTGATATCAGTGAAACTGAATAATCTGATTTTGATTTCCATATTGTACATGACATTATTGTTAATCCTATTGAACATGACATTATTGTTAATCCTATTGAACATGACATTATTGTTAATCCTATTGAACATGACATTATTGTTAATCCTATTGAACATGACATTATTGTTAATCCTATTGAACATGACATTATTGTTAATCCTATTGAACATGACATTATTGTTAATCCTATTGAACATGACATTATTGTTAATCCTATTGAACATGACATTATTGTTAATCCTATTGAAAAGTGGCTAATGAAAACTATTTACTTCATTTAGATAAAGAGTTAGTTGATATTGATACTGGGATTGAAAATAATGCAATAAATTCTAATTTGAAGAGGATATTGATGATAGAAGCTAGTAGAAGTTACAAAAAGATGTGATGTTTCCTTAAAAGAAAACATTGAGTCAAGACCACATTTTAAATGCACCACTTGTAATGCTTTTTTGTGCATAAATTAAAAAATCACTTTTTGAAATATCATAACATTTAGATAAATTTAATTGAAATATGTTTAAGAAACATTTTGTTTTGTCTTTATTTAATTAAAAAGTTTAAAAAAAAAAGTTTTATTGTCTGACAAGACATATTTGTCCCACTTCAGTGTCCATGGTAACGATGCCCCTGATATATTGAAAAAATGTATATTGTCTTTTACTGGACCCCATTAGTATATTTCAATTGTATATTTTATTAAATACTAACATTTTCCACCCTCCGAACCTAATTGCTTTAATTTAAAAAAATTTCTTATAATAACTGTATAACCTCTATTATCACAATTTTATAACCTCTATTGCTACTACATTGCCTGAATTATACAAACCACATTACATTTTTATAAAAGTTGAAAATTAATAAATAAGTGTATTACCTAGAGTTGTTATTTTGAACTTCTTCGGGCACCCCTGAACTGGTATACCCACTATAATAGTGATTCCTAAATTTTAAAATTGAAAATATTATACCAACTTTAACAACAAAACATAAAAAATAAAAAATAAAAAATGTTTACTTATTACTATTGTATTATTATTCTTACTACTCCAGTGTGTTTACTGTTTTTTTTTTTTTTTTTTGAGAGACGAGAAACAAATTTAGTGACTTGGCTACAGTTTTGGTTTCAAAAAAAAAAAAAGTGCCTTAAATTTAGGGATATTCCCTTACTATTGATAATGATCCAGTAAACAGACGTTATATAACATTACAAGTGCAGTTAATGACTGCACCTGTAATTTTATATAGTTTTCATGTCCCACTATAATTGTTATTTATTTTATTGCCAATGAATGAAAGTCTGAGTTATTTAAATTTTGAAAACTTATATAACTTACTTATATAACTCTAATAAGGTTATTTACTTATATAATTCTAGTTAAAAGGAACACATCCATTTATATACAACATATACTGGGAACATTTTAATTTTTTTATCTTTTTATCATAAGAATTAGCTGTAAAAACCCAAAATGCAGTCAAAAGTGTTTTAAATCTTAAAACTTGATAATAAAACTTTTTAAAATAAACTATTTTTTATATTATTTAGTTAAATGTTGTTGCTTAATCATACCACAAACATATTTTTTTCATTTGAATACAATGTTTATTATTTAAATTTAATGTTATTAAAAAAAACTTAAAACAGAACACATGAAAACTATAAGTTTAGATAATAGTACAAATAATTGGTAATAATGGTATGAATAAGTAAATAGTACAAATAATTGGTAATGATGGTATGAATAAGTAAAAAAAGTATAAATAGATAATAAGTAATAACAGTGTGAATAAATAAAAGTATAACTAGGTAATAGGTATGGTCAGTAAAGTACTGTATATGAATTATATTTATGACTTAAAAAAAGTTATAGTCCTCTGTTTTGTTACAAAAAAAAAACAACCATCATACAGACTTTAGTATGTAGCTTGAATTATTAAAGTAAATACCACGACTTTTTTTTTTAGTGTAATATAATGTTTTGTATAAACTTATATGTAATTTCAATTAAGTAAACATGATTATGTCTTACTTGTTTAATTTACTAACCTTTGACAATTATGTAATATACTGACCTTCTACGCTTTTGTTCTGCTTCGCCAGCTGAACTATAACCTGACCTAAGTAAGAAACAAACAAAAAAATTAATATCAATACATCATTACTATAAAAAAATAAGCAGATACATGGCCATAGACAGGTGGGGGCTATGCCTTCCCCCCTTTACTTCTACCTTTGGTTGCGCCTCCAATTAAAAATATTTATAAACAATTTGAAAAAATTTATAAAAAATTTTGTTTTGTAAATATTTTAGATAAATAGAACTCATTGTAAAAGAAGTATTTAAATCATTGTATTAAACTTGTGTTTTTGAAAGTCAAACTTTTTAAAAATTATTTTGTATTTTCTGTTGTTTTTTTTTGTCTTTATTTTTGTGGTTTATTTTGAGTTACTTTTAAGCATGAGAAAATCTTTCAAGAATTTTATGTTTAAAATTATTATAAGATAATTTATACATCCCTTTATATAATAGAGGCGGGTTTGAAAAAACATTTGTATCCACATTACTTTAAGCAATTTAAAATTATTTATGCATTTCTTAATTTTAAACTAGATTAAAAAGAAGTTTGTTATAATTGTAGTAACATTACATATAAATGTTTCCAATGATTTATTTCAGTGATATGTCTTAAAAACAGAAACTGTCTGGTGCGCCTTAAATGGCTAAAGGAAAGATTGGAAAGGGAAGATAAAGATTGTTCTTCTTTCTATGCAAGAAATGTTGTCTCATCAACTTATCTTAGCACTGCTTCTACTGTTACGAATACATCTCTTGCTAGCCATGCAACTAACACTACTACTGCATATATTAGATATTACTTCAACTTCAAGTTGTTTTGACTGTACTTTTACTAGTAGATCTCTTGCTGATCTTGTCACTTTACTAGTAGATCTCTTGCTGATCTTGTCACTATTGCAAACTGTTCTTGTTATGTTGGATCTGCATCTACTGTTAATTCAGAAGTCTTGTGTTTGCTATAATGTTTTATAAAGGTTTCATACTATATAAGACTTGTTTTTTAAAATCAAGCCTTGTTTGCTGTTCCTTATATTCTTTAACTTTCTGCATCACGGAGACATATGAATATATTACATTTGAAGGCTATATTTTACTTCATATCATAAAAAACATTTTTAAATAATAAATTGCCACAAAAACCTCATGTGAAACTAGTAGAAGTTAAGCGAAAAAATAAAAATTGATACTACCAATTTTTTTAAGTAACTTATATAGAAATGTTCTAAACACTATTTGGCTTATGTTATAATATGTATATTATTTAAGTGGTGTGCATCCCATATACAATGTAGCCATGCATGGTGCCGTAGATAATTTGATCTTCCATATAAACGTTTCAATCTTTGTAAGTTTAATGGCACTTGAGTTGTTGAAGCTATTAAAAACATGCTATACCACTCTATGAATAAGATGTAGGTACAACAGAGAGTTAAAAAGTTTTATTGCTAAGAGACATATTGCTTGCACCCCTCCTTTTCATAGCCCTCCCCCCCCCCCCTCCTTCCAGTTTAAAAAAGTTACCTATTGCCATGAGATAAGACCCAACTAAAAATCTTTTTTGTTGCATGTAATATTAAAACATAATATATAATATTTTAAGGAATCCATTTACATTGCCTCCATACGATATCAGTTAATTAATTTGGAAGCAAACAACTCTATATTACTTAATGCATAAAAATTATCTTTAAATGAAAAAAAAAATACCCTTGATACTTGGGTGTAATTCTTCTTTCAATGCCGGCAGATAAAGGACGAGTATGAAAAGAATTTTGTTGACCACTGGAATACAGATCACTTAAAAAAAAAATTATATGTTTATCTCCTTCATTGATAAGTAGAAAAATATAGGTATAACACACACATACATACACATAAGCTGGTTTTAGGCTACAGATTTATACTTATTACTAAAGCTATATATATATATATATATATATATATATATATATATATATATATATATATATATATATATATATATATATATATATATATATATATATATATATATATATATATATATATATATATATATATATATATATATATATATATATATATATAAAGAAAAAACTGGTAAATGATCATTTTTGCATTAAAACACAAAAAAATACATAAAAATAAAATTAAATGATATTATAAATAAAAATGATCAATAAACAAAAAAAATGATAAGTAGTCTCTATTCTATGTAATGGTGATATGTAGTCTAAAGACTACATATCACTTTCACCCCCTCTGGAGCTTTGGGAGGTGAATTTAAAAAAAGCCACTTTTTAATAAGTTTTTGTTTTTTATAACTTTTTTTTCTTTTTGAAGAAATAATTTTTAAATGTTATATTATTTAACATAATACATTATTTAAAAAGTATTTATTAAGATTATTTATTCAGATTAAAAAAATATTTGTGCCAACATTTGGCATACACAATAAAGATATTATAAACGAAAAGAGTATATAGATAAAAAATATAACACATACAAGTGTGAGCCATTTCTTCCAGCTTGATCATCTACAAAATGAGCATAACAAAATTTAAACATAAGTATAATAAGATACAGAAAATAAAAATAATTATCTTTATTTTATTTTATTTTTTAACAAATTTGCTTCTAAAATGGCTGCAAGCAACCACAAGTTATGAAGGATTTTCTTGAAAGTGAAGAAAAGAATTAGAAAAGAAGTTGACAAAAAACTTAAAAAACAGTAACTTGTATGAGTCAGGAAAACACGATGACAAGATGACATGATGACAAGAGAGAATATATCAATATCAAAAGAGTATTCCTAAACATTAATCTTTAACAAAAACAAAAAAATGAACAAAATAAATTTAAAACCATGAAGGAACAATTACTGTAAAAGGATGTAACTATGCTTTATGTGAGATGACATCAAACAAAACTCTCAAAAGTTTTGGTTGATGGAACAAGTTATGATAGCTTGCTTGAGCAGTGACAATGTTAATCATTGTAGAAAAGATAAAAATATGTAACCTTATGAGGATTTTGTATAACAGAGAATAATTATGAGGATTTTGTATAACAGAGAATAATTATGAGGATTTTGTATAACAGAGAATAATTATGAGGATTTTGTATAACAGAGAATAATTATGAGGATTTTGTATAACAGAGAATAATTATGAGGATTTTGTATAACAGAGAATAATTATGAGGATTTTGTATAACAGAGAATAATTATGAGGATTTTGTATAACAGAGAATTTTTTGTATAATTGAGTAATAATCATAAAGATCAGAGCATCCTTATAATTAGAGTTTCTAAAAGTTACAACCAGGGGTATGGAGTTGTAAAAAAAAAGTACTAACTCCGACTCCAATTCCAATTGTTTAAATTTTCACGACTCGGACTTGGACTCCAACTCAGCTCCAATTTTTTTTGCCAAATGAAAAATTCTTTGAAGGTTAAATATTTTAAACATGCACGTACAATACCAAGAAGTTTTAAAATTGGAGTCGGAGTCGCTGTTTGGTTTAGCGACTCTGCTACAAATGTTGGGAATCAACTCCACAACTCTAACTCCACAGCCCTAGTTACAACCATAGATACCATTTTCCTGCAGGCAAAAAATAGATTAGTTAAGATCTCGTAAAATAGTTTTGAAAGTATTGAAGAGAAAAACACCTGCTTAAAACTGCGGCTGGAATATTCTTAAGACCACAAGCAAGAAAAAGAGTTTGAGAAATAACATTAACCATAAAATCAATAGTGATTAGAATGTTTAATAAATTAAGTTTCTATGAAACTTTAGGAAGAGTGTACTTCATAGAATAATGGAGATAAATTAGAAAAAAAATATGCTTTGCCCTTTGGATATATTGGGTTGCTTAATGAAAAAAACAACTGAATATTTCTTAATTATTTACAGTTATTACTTTACAAACTTTTATGTGATTTTATGCGACTACATGCAACGACTAATCTAATATACTTTAAATTTTTTTACAAGTTTCTTTAATTTTAGTTAAAACACCCAATTTAGTAAAAATTGTGCCTAATTTCTACCCATATTCATTGTACTATCTATACTCACAACTGCTAAATAGCCTGTTACATGTTTATAGTATTAATAAATATTTCATGAACAGCTGCTTAAAATGCTAAGATATAATACAATGATTTTTTTTTTTGAATTTGACTGGTTTTTAGATTCAATTGTCAAAATACCTCATAGCGTGTTTTTAAGTATAAATCCAAACAGCGCTTAAAAATTGTAGTCACTAGTAATATTATCAATGATGTTGGCACTCATTTTGTCAATAATGTTCAGAAAAATGTACAATTTCAATTCCATTTATTGCTTAAATTTTACTTTTTAAGCCCCTAAAATTGATACCACTAACATCGCCATTAATGTTAAAAAAAATGCACAAACTCATACTCAATTGCTTCAAAATTAAATTATTAAAAAAAGTATTGGCTACAATAATGATAAGGAAAATGTACATGTGTATAATATACACACACATGCTTACACATGTACAATGTAGCCATTTATAATGTAGACATATACAATGGACATGTATAATGTAGACATATACAATGGACATGTATAAAGCACACTGTATAGATATGAAAACTAGTTCTATAGCAAATATTGTTATAAATATTTTTAATTTATGCTTTCAATCTAGTAACTTAACATACAATTTACCAAAATGAGAACATTACATCATTTATGTGACATGATGTAAAAATGTTATGTGATAACCTCATTTTGATAAAATGTTTTTTAAAAAAGTTTATTTTTCGCAAAATCTTAGACAAAATTAAAAGATTAAATCTGCTTTAAGTATGGTTAAGCTTTTTTTTCTCTAATTCACAAGTTAACTTTTTTTTATCAATAATCAATTTGCAAGTAAATTTTGATGGTAAATAGGTAAAATTAAAATAATTCTTTTTTTAAATGATTTATTTCATGTAGAATTAAAAAACTAATTGTGTTAAAACAAAATTCAGTTAATAAATTTTTATTTCCAAACAAATATCATTTTTGCTCAGCCCAGTAACATACAAAAAAAATTTTCATTATTTTTTTTTGTCTGAAAAGACGTAGAAAATGTCATATGTCTGATGGAAAATGTCAGAGGTCTGATGGAAAATATCATGTCTGAAAATATTAGGAAAAAAAAAAATCTGAAAACATGTGCAAGATATGCAGAAACAAATTTCAGTTCACAGGATCTACACTAAGAATGTGGTACTACTATGATTAGAAACACAGAATAAAGAAACCAAAGAACAAAAAATGCAAAAAACTCTTCAACAAAAGCAGAACCAAAAATTTCATTATATTTTTAGGAGTTGAAGAACTATTCTCATATCTAGCAGCTCTGCATGGATTTAGTTGTAATACTTTCTTTAAAGTTAATTGATTTTGAATGGGAAACATTTTTCCATTACACTGGATAAATACAATTCCACAAAAAACAGAATATTTCTTCACATTAACATTCACCAGAAAAATAAACACTTGGGATCTAAAAAATTGTAATTGCAAAAATTGTCTAATTCATAATTTCAAGACTTTTTTTAAATCAATAATGTAGTAAAGGATCCAATAAAAAAAAAACGAAACAACATACTCTCCAACATAAGTTAGAAAAGACTTTCCATTATTCAGCAAAACAGAAACGCAAATAATTTCAAAGAAAAATGTTAGTCTTTAAAGCAACAAAGAAAATCTTGAGCAATTATTAAATGATTTTAAAATGACCAGTTTTGAATCAGAGCAAGCTAGACATTTTAGCTGCTAGACATTTGTTTACAAAAAGATTTTCTGTTTAAAGATTTTAACTTTAACTCTTTTAAAGACTTATCCTGAAAATATTTGCGATGAAGAAAACTTTTCTTACTTAAGAATTGATGTAAAAGAAAAAACAACTTATAAACAATAAAAATGAATAACAATAAACTTATTTATAAACTATTGAATTTTTTTTTTTTAAATAATATAAACAGTAATATCATAAATACAAAGTTAAGTGATATTAAATACAGTCACATTAATTTATAAAAATATACATGACATTATGCGTTATTGAATGTGTTGCTATGACATTATGTGTTATTAAGTCATAATGTTTTACAGTGGGATAATGGGTTACTATGACATGCGTTTCAATATCAAAAACAATGTAAAACAATTTAATTATTTGGAGAGCATACATTTATTATGATCTTGAGATTCCAAAATATGATCTGGTTGATTGCGTTTTAGACTGGGTGTCCTGTGAAGTAGAAAAATAAACAAATAAATCAAAATTTTATTTTTAATAATTTAAGAACTAATTAAATTTTAAAACTTACTATTAAATTAAATATAATAAACCTGTAAACTGAAGGTTGAATCCTTGGTCTTGTATCAACTTCTTTTTCTAGTTGTTGTTGTGTTCGACCACTAAAAATAAAAATAAAAGAATAAACTATTTATAGAACAGCAGATATAATGAATTTCAATCAACCTCACCCTAAAAGACCAAAAAATCTTTTTATAGACACATTTTTATAACACATTCAGAGGTGCTTTTGTAATATCTTTTAATCTTGTCTGAACTAAGTTTTGTGATTTATAAAATTAATTTTTTTTTAATAACTAATTAGCAGAATAATACAATTGTTACATTTCAGAAATCATGTAAAATAAAATATATAGGATGACAATAAATGAACAAAGAGCAACATAATGAATAGATCAATGAAAAAATAAAAATTAAATGTATAATAATAAAATAATTTTAAACAACAATTTTTTAAAATGTTTTACTATTATTGTTTAAAACTAATTCAGTTCATTGCATAAAATAACTTATACAAAATGTTTTCCATTCATTTTTAAAAAGGTTTTTTTAACCAACAAGTTTACTGTCATAGCAAATACATCATAGTTATTAGGATAAGTAAAAGCAGTTGTATATTTAAATAAATTTAAATAAGTAAATCAGATGTATATTTTTTTATATTTTCAGTTACATCAACTAAAACTACATATCAACTAGTGGCATCAGGTATTAACTACTCAGAACAGGTAAGATACTAATATAAATAAATGGATGATTTTTTTTGAGTTTGATAAACAAGTTCAATAAGTAACATATCAACTAGTAGCAACGGAGCACAATTCAGATTTACATGTCAACCAGTCATAAACACATCATGTTTTTGAGTTTTAAAACAGATTTATTGATGAAAATAGATTGATTTAAATTTGAAAAATTTGTAATTAAACTTATTCACTTCACTTGTATTTAACTTCAAGTTCAAAATTTTTACCAGCTAAAAAAAGTGAAAGCATACACAATGCAAACAACAGATTTCAAATACAAATGACATTAGTAAATAATATTATTAGAAAAATAGTATTTTATCATCTTAAAATCTCTTAAAAATAGAACTACTAAAACAAAATCAAGAATTAATTTTAAAAATATATAAACAAGGTCGAAGTGACAAGAGAAAGGAATGCTGATTGATCATTCATTGACAGAGCAGTTTATATAACCTTTAGCAGATCATTCATATGTTTATATGCAGGGGCCAAAAAAAGTATTGGATATTGGATCATTCTCAAAACCTGCTCAAGGAGGGACATCTAACCACTTTCATATCTTTTATTGTTAAAAATTTAAAAAAGGTTGTTTTCCTTCCTCAGATAAGTTTCAAAGAAAGTCTTAGGGGCACAGATATCCAACATTTTGATGCTTATATGCAAAATAAGATTTAAAGATAAACACAACAAAATGTACTCATACGTTGACTTGCGTACATTTTTTTGTGTTTTAAGAATGGCAAGGATTAGGCTTGGTTGAGCTTATATTTAATGTAGAATTAGATGTTAATTTTTCCCAATAAGATTCCAAAACTAACTTAAATGAATTCTATATTGACACTTTGGTATTATTTCAATATTTATAATGCTATTTTGATTTTCAATGTTACATCAACAATTTTTGATATTATTCCTATACTTTTTAGATGTTACTCTTGTATCAACATTTTTAATGACGAAATATTAGTAAAGAGACAATATTTGTCTCTTAACTAATATTTTGATACAGGTGTATTGTTCACAGGTGTATTGCTCACTGGTGTATTGTTCACAGGTGTATTGTTCACAGGTGGATTGTTCACAGGTGGATTGTTCACAGGTGTATTGTTCACAGGTATATTGTTCACAGGTGTATTGTTCACATGTGTATTGTTCACATGTGTATTGTTCACAGGTGTATTGTTCACAGGTGTATTGTTCACAGGTGTATTGTTCACAGGTGTATTGTTCACAGGTGTATTGTTCACAGGTGCATTGTTCACAGGTGTATTGTTCACAAATGTATTGTTCACAGGTGTATTGTTCACAGGTGTATTGTTCACAGGTGTAAAATTCATTTGTAAAAGATTTTACAGAATCGAATCTTTTTAAGTTAATAATTTAGATTGGCTCAAAACAACATAATGATATCTAGATTATATAAAATTTACAAAAAACTCACCTAAAAAAAGCGCATTCATATTTGCAAAATTATTTAATAAAATAAATTACCTAAATCTAAACTTTGAACCTTTTTTAAACAGAAAGTTATGAGCAGATGCAGGAACATCATTCACTTTTTCAAGCCTGAATGAAAAAGGTAAATAACAAAACTTGTTTTTATAGAAATTCAAATAGGATATTGACACTTAAGATAACTACCGAAAGAAAGTATGATGTTCTGCACAACATCTCCAAAGACTTTTTGCAGACTCTTTGTCATTGCACAAAAAAGTATACTCTTTTTCTTCTTCCTATAACCAAAAAAAAAAATTGCTTTTTTTCCTTTGATAAAAAAGGGAATTATTTGTGTATATTATAAATATTTATTTTTTAAATAAATTTATTTCCAAAAAATTCATTTCCTAAATAAAATTTTAAATTGTTAATAAGAATAAATTAGACTAATTACGTTTCTTCCTTGGGTAGCTCTAAGTAAAAAACAATATCCTTTGTACTTCAATTTTGTGATTTTAGGCCTAAAAAAAAGTTTTAAATGTTAAAACAAATGCTTAAATAAAAAAAAAGGATTTTTAGATAAGTTAAAGTTTTTTTTAACTTATAAACATAATTAACTAAATTAACTATTACATAAACATAATTATTACAAACATAGTTAATTAAATAAACTATTACCATATGAAACTACCAATTTTATTTTTACTTCGAAATAACACAATTCCTGTTGGAGACAATCCAAGCAAATACTCCATATTGTCTTGACCTTTAACAGAATGTAAATCAACTCCATACATCTCCAACCATTTTACACGGTCTAAAAACTTTAGTTCTGCATCTGCAGGTGTAACCCCCCTAAAAATTAAAATATGTTAAAGTTTAAAATGAATAAAAAAAAAAAAACATATTAGAAAGAAACCAGCATAAATTTTTAGAAAAAATGTTTATGTAAAATTATTAAAATAACATAATATTCCTTAAACCTAATTAAAATATACAAAAGTTAATTGAACACTTTTAAAACTAAAAAAAAAAATTTTTTGTTTTGAATATTCAAGTTTTACATACAAATGTTACAACTGCAGTGTAAACATATACAGACAATTAAAGTTACACAGAACAGAATGAACTGCAAGTTCATCATTAAATTGCAAGCAAGCTCGTATAGTAATACAGTACTGCAGTTATACAGTCACAGAAAATGATGCAGTGTGGTAACTATGATAGTTGCTATGATATGATAGTCTAGTTTTGTTTAAATAGTCAATAGTAGACTATCATCAAGTAATACTGTCAATCCCTCTACTATTGACAGTATCATCTGTCAAAGCATTCCAATAATCCACAACTCAATTAATAAAAAAGTTAAATCAAACTTGGCAATTGCTATTAATTTTGCAACGAAAGCGTTTTCAATAACCATAGACGGGAGGAATAAATATTGGGTCAGTATGCTAGTTGATAAAGTCAGTTTTGTTTTCAATTTTGAATTTTTGGGTCACCACATTTTTTTCTGTTACTTAGTGAAACTAGTCCAAGTTTAACTTATCTTGTCTAGTAATCAAGGTAATCAAGTCTAGTAATCAAGGTATTTAAATTCATAAGGTATTTTAATGTCCTTTTTTAGATTAGGACATCACGCTGTCACAGCATATCCTAGATGTGGGGGTACGTAAGTTGTATTGAAGTTTTTTTGAACTATTATATCTTTCTTAAAAAAATTGTGCTTTAACATACCTAAGATTTTATTAGCCTTAGCCGTACTTTAGATCATCAGAAAGTTAAACACCAAGGTCTTTTTCCAATTTTGTTGTATCTAACCAGATTTTTTTGACTCCACTATTGGAGGGAGAGATCTGGATTAGTAGATAAGCATTATTTTACATTTTACAATGATAAGTTGCATGAGCTGTTTTTAAGTCCAATTGATAATTTTATCAATAACAGCTTGCAGTCAAATTTGATTTGTAAATTGTTGCAAATCTAATTTGTTCAAAATTTAAAGTGTTACTTAGGTGTACAAAAAAAGGACTTTAGTGTTGCAATCTGGCCTCACAAGCTTATTAATCACAATCACCTGGCCTCACAAGCTTATACTAAAAGTGAATTTAAATAAGCTGCCATAATTCTTCACAATACTGGAACTAGTGTATGTGAATTATGTAGTGTATATTTATTGTAATTTTATAGTTATAGAACTGTTGACAACTGTATTACAACTGTAGAAATGGTTAACTATATGATTTTTTGTTGACATCACTAAAAATGAGAACAAACCAAATAAATGTAAAAAATAAAAAAAAAAGTATTTACTCCAATAGAGTTAAACTTCAATTTGAAATCTATCATTATAAAATAAACAAAAAGTTAATCAAAATAACTTGAATTTGTAAAATTAAAATAAAAACTAAAAACTTTTTTTCTGCTAAATTTACTTCTGATTAGTATTATTAGTATTTTTTTTACTTCTGATTAGTATTAGGCAGAAAAATTGCTACAGCTATTCAAAAAAAAAAAGAAAGTGTCAAGAAGTTAGTAGAAAAAAAATCTCTGTGTGTTTTTCTATTTTATATATGCATTCATATTTTATTCTGAAAGTTGAACTTAGCCATTTTTTTGTATTCCAACAATTTTAAATTTTATATATTAAAGGTAAGCCAATCATACTATTTGACAAATCTTACCCACTGATAATCAACTCAGGTATAATCACAAAGTTTCACGAGTCATTTAAAAAAAAAAGAGTATTAGAACAAGTTGCTGTACCACCATGTCTTGTAAATTTAAAAGACTCAATTTTGTTGTACCACCATGTTCATCAATTTTAAAGACTTGAATTTTACAATCAACTCTACATGGTATTGAATTTCAAGTAGCAAGTGATGTGTTAAGCAAAAACAATTTCAAAGATTCTAGATATTAAACTTACTTAACAAATAAACTTACTATTTCAGTGAATGAAGAAATAACTTTAGTTAAATCCAAACATTGTAATAGAATGTCTGAGTTCTGTAAACGTTAATAAAATAGATGATTTGGGAATGTTTACATTCTTGTTTTTAAAAAAACATGTGCACCCATACTTGTAAGCAGAAAAAACAAATTTTCCAGCAAAAAAGATGTTAGAACATTTTGTTAGGAAATTTATTCAGATTGATTTTTTAACAATAATTAAATTATTTTAACTGGTTGTTGTGTCATTAGTCACTCAAAAAGATGTAAAAACTAATGTTTGATTTAAAATTTATAAAGTTTCCTTTGGAAAATCAGCTTTTAAAAGAAGAAGACGTAGAGACTAGATTAAAACAATCCATAACATTTCATAACATTAAAGTTGCTCCAATTTCTAGTTCGATTGAAAAAAGTAAAGAAAAAAGTATGCTTAAGTATAAAAACAAGGATCTTTTTCAATATTATCATCTATGATATAGAGTTTGATGACCATACTGAGAAAATAAATTATGACACCAAACCACCAAATAATAAGTCTACTATTTCTAAATAATTTTAACACAATTTTAAACTTTTTACTTAGTTGCAAAGAGTTTTTTATAATTTATTTAATTTCCTGACTTTAGCAGAATGTTCTAGTTTCTGCCACCCTGATTATTTATAAATAATAAAAGTAAATTTATAGAGAAGCAATTAAAAATCTAAATACATTTTAAAAGAGTGTAGTATTTTAATTTGTCAATTGGTTTAAAAAATCATTTCATAACCATTTAGTACTTTTTGTACTGTACTTATTTTGCAAGTGTAAAGTTTTTAAAATTGCCTAAATTTTTAACAATGCTATAAATTTTCCAAAACTAGGTTTTTATCATTTGCTGCTAACCTTCCTACCATTTTCTGTTGATTTGTTACTACTTGTAACAATTGGCAAAAGTATGCATTTCTAACTACTGCACCTTGGATGCTAAATTACTACTACTTAAAAATATTTAACTATGATGTTTTTATTAAATTTCAAAAGATTTTTAAAAGCAATATAAATTGAAAATGCTTATAAGAATTTTTGTTGTTGCTGTTTTAGGAGATCAATGTGAATACAAAATTTGCTGTAGATTATAAAATATACATACCAATTTTTAATTTGCAACCAAAGTTTATAAAAATAATAAAAACTTTTATTTTTACAATATCAAAAAAAAAATGTAACTAATTATTTATGTAATTAGTTATATTTTTTTAAGTAACTTATTATTTAAATCATTTTTCAAAAAGAAAACAAAATATTGAAAGTAACTTATATAAAGATATAAAAAAAATGCAAAAAACACTTACAAAGTGAAATGATATTATAAACTTATGAATGTATTCATGTAGTATATATAATGTTTTCTGTTTACAAATAAACACACATGTTATTTACAAAAAGATGTAACGCTACACAGAAAGTCATCGATAGAATCATTTATATCAGACATATCAGTCAGACAAAAATTATCTGAAAAAAAAATCCTCTTAATCTTGAAGATCTTCCAAACATATTATTTACTTTTTAGAAACTGAAGAGGTTAGTACTGTCACTCTTGACATTTCTAAAGCTTTTGATGAAGTTTGGCAAGCTGGTCTTTTTCATAAGCTTTCTTCTTACAGTTTATCAGGTAACATCTTTAAGATTATTGAATCCTTTCTTACCAATCGTAGTGTTTAAGTTGTCCTTAATGGGCAGCATTCTTCTTCATATTCTATCAATTCAGAGGTTCCTCAAGGTTCAATCCTTGACCCTATACTCTTTTTAATTTACATTATTAATCTTCCAGATATTGTCACATCTAAAGTGGCATTATTTGCTGATGATACTATCATTTATTCTTGTCATGATAAGAAGCCAACAGGGGACATTAGAGTTTGAAGAGGATCTCGCTTCTGTTATGTTTTTTGTCATGTTTATGTCATTTGTCAACTGTTATCTTGCTTTGAAAACTTCATCTTTTCTCTTCCAGTAACTTCCAACTCTAATAGTGGTTGTTTGCAGCCTTGTTGGAAGTCAAGATTTTGAAAAAAAGTATTTTTTTAAATGGTTCTAAGTTTATACAATATTAACCTTATATAAAGAAAGCTTGTTGAGGCTAGTACAAATACATTTTGTCAAAAGTAAAAACAGTACCTATGCAACTATTTCAGCCCAGGTCTATAAACCTTTTATAACTATATACTAAATATTGTTTATACAACAGCCAGGACACAGGCAATTATTATTATTATTTTTTTGATTTAACATTCAACTTTAAATAAACCAAATGAAAAAGTTCAACTTTTAACTCCTTCCTGAACAAGAAAACGACTCATCCTTATCTTTACAATAATGTTTTTTAAAATAGGGACGCGATTTTTACAACAGCTAAAAATGATTCATGAGAGTGAATAAGTTTAATGAAACAAAAGATTTGAAAAGAATAAAACTTGAAAAGAATTTTTTTTTTTTTAACTATTTTTATTCAGACAAACAAAATGAACTGATGCCAATGAATCATACCAAATCAAGAATCATTATTCATTAATAAATTCTAAAGAAAAATAAAGGGAACTTTAGAGATCCAAAATACCAAAAAACCATATTTTGGATCTACATTACCTAAAAGATAAAAACTAATTGCTACAAATTAAGATTATTCAGTTTTCACAAATTTATGCACTCTTTTATTCAATTTATGCAAATTTATGCACTCTTTTATTCAATTTATGCAAATTTATATACAGATGAGAGAAATGCACTCTACAAATGCATAATAATGCAAAAAAATGCATTAAAAAACAAAACAGTTCTGAGCAAACTGCTTTAACATTTATGTGAACTCTATCAGTATCTATGGACACTGTGATTGACAGCCTTTAGATGTTTTTATCTT